GCTGATGTGCGTTTTCTACTTCGTGAGAACTTCCGTTCCACACTTGACCCTGGTCCCTCCAGGCGGGGAGCTACAGAACGACAGACAGAACGACAGACGAAAGACGAAGCGCTTTATAGTATGTAGGATACATCTCATTTCAATTGGCCGGGTTGACCTAATGACCTTTCCTGGTCAGAGAAAGTAGTAAAATTTTTGTTTCGTGACAGCTACACGTTCCTTATATCGAAATTTCACCGGTATTAACCCAATTAAATTCTTCGTATGCAGAACACTGTATACTGCTGCAATGGGGTTTTGTGCACTACGGTTTTATACCCTCCCTTCAAAAAGCGAGAAAGTGTCGGGTGCAGACCATGCACCACAAGTGACGACGGCCTTCACAAAATGTTAATGTTTTCTGCCAATGAAATGATTAGCCTGTTGCAGTTGTATTCTATCGATTGTCACTAATTACAACTATCATTTACCAGAAAATCAGCTATCACTATGAACAACTTCTAACCAGATTTACTTGGAGGCCGTCGTCAGTTGTACATAGTGTTTGGTTTGCACCTGACACTTTCTCGCGTTTTGAGGTTACAAGGCTTCTGTCAACCAAAGGGCACAAAGCGCTTGTTTTCCTAGCGTAGCTGGGAAAGCAAGTGCTTTGTGTCTTATTGGGACTAAGCCTTTGAAGAAGATGAGGAAAGAGGAGATGCTTTGATAGTGTGCACTTGTGAGAGCTTCCAGACATCACCAAGGCTCACGGTTGACAGATGTCCTGAGACCACTTTTTGAAGGGGTGGTTAATTATCACTTAAGGTTACGGAAGTGAGTCAGCGGGCGGCTGCGTCGGACAACCGCTCCTGCTGCAGGTGTTGAGGCGCCAGAGCGCCTAATGCATATAGAGGCCATGTTTCACCTTACCATCAAGCAGAGAGTTTTGGTAAGATATCACAAGCTGAGTTAAAGGGGGTAGCACGAAACTTGGTCGTTGATTTCTGCTTTAGGCGTCACACTGATGCTGTGATCAAAGCTCTACTTCTGCGGGTTATACTAAAATGCCTAGTGTCGACGCGAAGTTATACGAAGCTGGGAGAACCAATGTGGATGGACCGAGGAACAAGGGCGGGCTGAAGGGACGATCGGGGCCTTACCAGGTCACGAAAGGCGAGCCTTCCTGTAACGATATCGCCGACGTGGAGCACAGCATTTGTTCATAGTTGTCACATTTACTTTTCTTTTACACGCAACATATCGTGCCACCTCCATTCAAAGTTAAACCGTAAGGTTTGAGCTCAGGTTGAGACAAAGTGCTTCGGTCTAGCTTCAGCGCCCTTTTGGTAAGATTCAGCAACTGGAAGGGAGAAGGTTTGTTTCCATTTTATTGCATTGCTTTGCATTTTTTCCTGTCTAACCCGTGATGAAGGCCCCGCCTCTAAATTTTCTGTTTAATTGAAGTGATACTAGCCTCGTGCAACTTACCTAAAACAGGTCGTACTCGAGTTAGTAGACGCTTCATATTTTTTGACTTTCTATCCTGCAGTCCTGACTGGATTGTTCGAGATGCTTTGAAGTGCTGAGGTTACTGCCTTCACGATAAGAAGTGTCCTGCGGTAAGGTCACGCGAGAAGATGGTTGACTTGACCCTGATCGGTCGGAGCTCGACTCGGAACGGTACCTAGGAATTAGCATTTAGCTAGAATATTTTCGTAGGGTAAAAATGACTACACGAATGAAATTTTTCTGAAAAAATTAGGTTCGTCGAACAAATGCGGCAGATGAACCATCTGCTCTGTTCTGAGAGGGAGCAAAAATATAATGATACGAGTCAATAACAATACCGTGTAGGCACCAAGCACGACAACTGTTCCAGGAATACTTTACGATATACATGATTTTTCGCGAAGTAGACATAGAAATTCATAGAATATGCCATAAGAGCGAAGATCACCTGGAAATCGTATAGCTTTCCTTAAACGGAGACAAGTAATTTTTGAGTTGAAGTCTTGAAGTGCAAGTCTCAACAGGCAAACATCGTTCATTTAATCTCTACATTCTACTGAGGCTATATCTGGCCACCGTGCATATGTAATTCGCGACTATGGGGGGAAAAGTGTTCGAGAAGCTTTTTTGAAGCTTTTTGAGATACACCGAGCATTCTACAGAGTGGTCAAAAATTACGGTAACACTGTGTAGTTGCTGCTTTAAATGTTGATTTTGAATCGGGATTTTGGGGTATATTCTACGAAATTATTTTGATATTTCAATGGTCCATATTTAATTTTGTCACATAAAGTTTATCAACTCAGTAATACATAGTCCTCAAACTCCTCGAGAAACAACCACTACTTCGCTCCCACGAGCTGTTTGATTCTGTTGCTTTGCAAGAGGGTTCAGAAGCTCTTTGGAACTTTCGTCGACATTACATTACGAAGTCAATAGGCTATTTACAAGCGTCAATAGAGCCTGGACCTGAGAGGATTGTGTATGACATCACGAGTAATATCTCAAAGATACGTGCGAAGAAGCGCTGGACGTTTGATCGGTAAAGTGTTGCCTAGCGCACTTCTTTGCGAAGTTCGAACACATCTTATCAAAATTACCTAACTTCCACTCGTACTTGGAAAGTACGGTAGAAAGCAAAGATGCTAAAAAGCATTAAGGTTTCGATTCCGTAATGAACTTGGTTTATTGAAGGTTTTCCTTGATGAGGGGATATTTTGCTGTTGAGCCAGTCTTGAATAAGAGGAGCGACTAGACCAAGACTATTAAAAGGCCAACCAATTCTGTAATGGTTTTCGCAAGAATCATAAGAGTCATATCATAGGAATCAAAATTTGAAGAGACTTCGGACCTCTGCTGCTCGAGGTATAACACTGTATAGTAAAATCTTCTCGAACATCATTTGTCTCGATTGATGCTTGAAAGGAAAGGACCCTCAATAGGAAACATAGGACATCAGAACAAGATTTGGCCCACCCACAATGCACAGATTGTCCAAAAATCGATGCCAACAGAATATCGTGGAATTCATCATATTAGAGAAGTGGCAACATAGCTCTCCCAACTCAAGTCCTACGGAATGTTCTGTATTGAGTGTGCCGAAGGCAAAGCATTGCTACAAGCATAATTGTACATCGAAAGGTTGAGCAGCCGTTCTTGAAAGCTTGGATCTATTCGACAACACCTGCGTACACAATAGCGCCGATGACTTTCTATGTAGAAGACTTTGTGTATTTAACAACGCAGAAAGCGGCCACTCCAAAGTAAGTATTGTTTCCTGATCGACAACGTCCCACCAATTCGTTGTTAATTTGGGCTTCTCGGCTACATTGCTTTTTTATACCCATTATCTTCAAGCACTAAGGTTAGTGCTTGAAGATTCACATTACAAAGGCAGCCGGGGTCCCGCCACGACTCGCTTGATCTAGAGTCACCGTAACGGCGTCACCCCGCGAATGGCCTAAATTTTTGGGCCTTTGCT